GGCCGCAGGCCACTCCCCTCCGGCTCCCTCGGGCTCCCTCCGCCCGCAGCCCGCGGGGACCGGGGCTGCGAGGGCGGCCTCCAGCTAAATGCACTGAAAAGCCAGTCCTGGGTCACAGTGTCGTCCCCTTAACACCCCCCTCCCCGCCCCCCGCCGCCTTCATCCTGCTTCTCTCTTTCTCTGAGTTTCTTTCTCTTTTCCTAGGGGGGTGGATGTTGAGGCAGTGTCTTTCTATGGAGCCCAGACTGGCCCGGAATTCGAAGCGATCCTCCTCTGCCTCAGCTTCCCCGGCGCTGGGCAGTTCCTTTTCTCAGTATCGCTTAGTGCTCTCTGTTTTTTCCTCCACTGAAGCATTACTTCTGCAAAGTCCTGTTCCCCAAACAAAAGGTGACTCAGAGCGCCCCCTCAGCATAGTTTCGAAAATTTTAGTGCCCCTCCCCACCCCAAGGCTATGGCACAAGGCCGATTTGTTCACTTCGAGGTAACTTGCTTCTTGCTCAAGACTGCTGATAAAGCTTTAATTTCCTCTTCTTAAACGGATCAGGTGGTGAGGTGGGAAAATCCATAGTAGTCCGGCTGACTACATGTCTAAAATAAAATACGCACGTGAGTGGGGGAGGCGGGGAAACCCAGCAGGCCACTCTGCAGATTTAGACAAAGAAGGTAGGTACAGTCTTGAAATGCGAGCAGAACCACAAATATGCTAAAGAAATACATTCTAGTGAGAAACATTCTATTGAGAAATGACTCAAAAGACCACAGGCTTGTATGAAAAAGTATTTTTGTATTATCCTCTGACAACCTTCAAACATACAAAATTAAAAAAAATAATTGCAAGCGTTAAAAACTATTTTCTAGCAATTATGCAAAACTTAAAAGAAACAGTGAATGAGCCTGGATAGATAGATGATCGATGTATTCGGAGGGCTGAGAGATGGTTTGTGTAGGGTCTCTTTCCTGTGGGGTTTTATTAGGTCTCTTCCTCGGAGGCCTTCTGGATTGCTCTGGAGGAGTGACATGAGGAACCCACCAGAAATCTTTGAGCCAGGACCCATGTGGCTTTCCCTTTCTGAATAGAAGAAAGGTGTGAGAAACTGGCAAGATGGGACGGTCCTATACCCTCCATCCATCCCGGGTGCCTCTGGGGCTCAGCACCTCCAACTTGGGTCTTTATCTCCCTTTCTAGCATTGGTCCCAGGCCTCTAGGGTGGTGCAGATGACTCAACCCACTCCCTTTATTTCATAAACGAGGCAACTGAAGCTCAAAGAGGTGAGAAAATACCGGGGTGGGGGGGGCTGGCGCAGTGCTCGCCTGGCACCCCTGAAGCCCTGGGTCCAATCTTATGACAATGCAGTCCTGTAATCACAGTGCTAGAGACGTGGAAGATGGAAGGGTCATCGCATATCAATAAATAAAAACTGCACAAGAACCCCAAAGTCACCCGTTAACCGTCAGATGTTCGGCTCCCCCTCTGTGACACCTGAGAACTTTCCTCTCCCAGACTCACAGCGACCGTGATCCAAATCTGTACAAAGAGCGTTTTAAAAATCTTGAAGTGGGACTGGAAGGCTCGTACCCCCTCTTTATTCTGAAGACCTTGAAATGCTCGCTTTTGCTCTTTAAAAACAAAAAGCAAAACATCAAAATACGGTAGGCACTGAGATTTTGCCCCGTCACCCTCCACCACACCAGTGTCCTCTCTCTCTGAGCCGCCTGTCGGATCCTAGAATTACTCATATGGCTTCTCCTACCCCCACTTTACTGTGGAGGGTTTTATGGATGGGCGAGAATGAACGTCTCCGAGTGGAGGAAATGGTCTGAGGCACCTGATTTGTGCGTGCACCTCCTTCCTACCCCTGTACGGCATGCCCTTCCCTCCCTGTACGGCATGCTTTTGCCTGCTTTCAGGCTCATTCCCTGAGCCCTTCTAAACACTGCTTGACCAGCTTTTCTGTCCTTTTCTCTTCTTCCACTTAATCATTTCCTAGAAATAACCAGAGGACGTGGCTGCCTCTGAAAGCCCCGCTGAACACTGTTCCCTGGGAAACATAACACCCTTAGTGCATTAGTGGAAAGGGGATGAGCGGCGCATGCTCATAACCCACGTAAACAAAATGGATTTCCCAAACTGGGAATGTGCAGAGAGAAGGCCGTCAGCAAGAACCGTGAGGGCGCTACAGTTCCCTGGTCCGTCCCTCACAGACACCTGCAGGCCACCAGGTATCGAGTCAGGCTGTGAAGAGAGAGCCCTGTAGGTGCTCAGCTCGAGCTAATGACTGGCTTCTGGAGTCATCTCATAATGTAGCCATCCCCTGCGTCAGCATCAGAGTCTGACGTGTCTGTTTTTTCAGATGACTCGTCCTCAGTCCACAGACTCTGGGAAGAGAAGCCGGGATGGGTCAGTTGTGTCCCGTCCCCACCGGCCATCAGGAGGCCTGACTCTGTCCTGTGGGGACCCTCGTCTAGGTGGACCGTGTCTTCTGCAAGAGATAGCACCTCTGAGGCTTCTTCGGAGTCATCATGGAGAGCTCTCAAAAACACAGAGTTTAGGTTCACGTTGAAGATAACTTTGTCCTCCGGCCCATTCACGGAGCTGCTGTCATCCCCGGGGAAGGAGTCCTGGAGCTCACTCTCTCTCCTCTCGTAGGGGCCACTCGGGTCTTCTGAAGGCCTGAAGCCTGATCCCACCGCAGCCTCTGGGCCGAGCTCTGGCTCGGC